AGGCCAGACCCTGGAGAGACCCTGCAGTGGAGTACTTGCTAGAGTCCACAAAAGACTGGTCTGATAAAAAGACAACAACAAGGAATAAGAAAGGAAAGAAAGAGAAAGGCTGGTATTAGTAAGCAGCAATATCAGTTCTTTTAAAGCAAACACAGACTCTGTTTTTAAAGACACAGAATCTCAATTTGACAGTGCAATGAGGACAGGCATGTTTTGCCAAGCAAGGGAATGAGAGTGAGTTTCAGCAATATGAGAACATTATAGGCCATCACACTGTAGACCTTCAAGGTCTATCCCTGTTATAACAAGACACAAGAACACAAGGTGCTGTGAAATAATAACATGCCCTGATTGGCCTACCTTGCAGGCTATTCCCATTGGTGCTGGTACAGGTGGGGGGCGGGGAAGTCTGCGGTCTAACAACAGGGGCAAAAGCACTCTTCTGTTTCACCGCTGAGACCATGTTGGCTGGTGAGAAGGAGAAGATTCCAGAGGAGCTGCTGCAGTTGGAAGGGAGGCTAGTGGAGGAAGCCATTGTTGGGCTAGATGGCACGACTAGAGTAAAAAAAAAAAGAAAGAGATAGTCTTAACAAGATGTCAAATGGAAATGCTAGAAGGTTCTTAGTTCTAGGAGGAGTAATGTTATTAGCAGATGCAGTCAGAAGCTGCTGTTTCATTTTTAGCAGAACACACCTATCTTACCTTCACGATGTGGGAGCTGCTTAAACATGGTCTTTCCTCCTCAAAAAAAGTAATATCATGTGCATGAAGTCCATAAGATGTCTCCTTCCCATACCAATATTGCTGTAATTTACAGGTACAGTGATATAGGTATGGGAAGGAATAACATTTGTAGACTCTTGTAAAGCTTCTAGCAATGCCTTTGAGGTGCAAGAAAGAGTTCTTTTCCAGCGGCTCCCAGGACGTGAAGGCAGGATCAGGGCCTCTAAAGACCCTTCATCTTCATCATGGCTTGTCAATCATGTCACAGTTCTCACTTGACTAGTAAGTGTTCCTTGAAACTGGTAGAAGAGAAGGTTTGCATACAAATCACTTTTCTAAGGAAAAGGAGACACAACGTCTCAAAAGTCAACATCTGCATTTCATATCATACAGTTCTGCTGTAAGACTCATTTCCCCAAGCAGCTGCACAGCAAAATCCAAACTGTACTTGCCAGAATGTTGTAGGGTTCAAGTCGTACAAAATCCACAAATTAATATTCTTGTATTTTCTGCAGCATTGCAAAAGATTCCAGAGCACATCTGTCAAAATGCATTGTTTCACTGCTAGGCCTAAGAAATTTTGGGCTTGATCCTAAGCAATTGAAAATGGAAAGAATTCATGGAAAATATTTCCACCACTTCCTCCTTTCCAGTGTTGTCCTTTATATCCTTGGAAAAGCCACTTGTAAAGGTCAGGAGACCTCTGTGTACATATGGCATATGGCACCAAAGCTGCAACCAGAACAGGAAACTGGCAGTAATCTGTCCTCCTTCCCATCCCTTTTATTTATTTATTTGGATTTGTATCCCGCCCTCCCTGCGAACGAGCTCAGGATGGGTAACAACAATATAAAATACAACATATTTTTTTATTTATTTATTGGATTTCTTCCCCGCCCTCCCGCCGAGGCGGCTCAGGGCGGCTTACAACAGGTTAAAACAACATATAAAATACAATAAATACAATAAAATTAAATATATAAAATATATTTATGAAAATAAAATAATATATATAAAAAACATATATAAAACCAAATTAAAACAACAGTATACAATGCCATACTCCTAAGTACCATGTCAGCTCAGATAGAACCATATCAGCAGTGATGAAAGAGTTAAGATGTTAGGGTCCAGGCTCTTCCCTGACTCTTTTGTGGCTTACACAAGACTTGGGAGGGTGATTTCTGCAAACTTCCCCTTCTGACTCTTCCCCCAGTGTCATATCCTGTGACAATCCCAAGGGTCCCCTGACCCTTACGTACAACTTCTTAGAAGTGCAGGAGACTTTTGCGGGAACAGAGAGGTAGCAAAAATCTCTTCCATGAGCTTGCTCCATTCATCATTCTTAAGGACCCAACCCATTGCTACCCCTAGCAACCACTTGGGTCACTTGTGCATTTAGATTGAGTCTGAGACCAGATCTGAAATGTATGCCTCATTTTGGCAGGTAAATTTTATGCGGGTTAAACAAACAGAGCATCTTGTGAAATTCTTTGGCTTTTCAAAATCAAAATGTAAGTGTTAAAATGATAAGGCATAACTCTTTTTGTTTTTGAATAATATCATTACATTATCCACTATTTAGCTTGACTGATATTGCAATCCTATGAACAGTTACTTGAGAGTAACGTCCGTTTTACCAGGTGGGACTGCTGAATAGTCATACATAGTAAGGCTGAAAGATTCCCCCCCCCCCAACGCCATTTGAACTGGCTACAACAAACAGAGAAAAAATGTGTCATTTTCTTCATTCTTTCAACTGTGCCTTCAAAAAGTCTTTTCAGTTCATGAGATTTCGGGGGGGGGGGTTTGAAATCACGAAGTGGGGAAACAGCATCAGTGCATCAGCTTTTAGGCATGACAACCAGAAAGAGGGGAAGAAAGAAAAATCCAGCAATAGAATCAATGTGCGTTTAGCCTTCTGTTCTGCTCCCATTGCCAGGCATCAAGGCAATGGTGACAGACAGCTAGTGAAATCAGCCTGATAACTGCCAGCTACCACTTTTACTAGTGTGGGTTAAAACTACAAATAATTTTAAATTTTTAAGTAGCTTTATGAACTCTGGCAGATAACTTATATGAGTTTGAAAGGCTGTTGTACTGTATAAAGATAATTAATGTCTTTAGCTGATGTGTTCATCATCCATGGTAGGAGCCTCTTCTTTTACTTAAAACAGTATCAAATCACTCAATTTAATCCAGAATTATTGGCTTCTCTATAAAAAGTAGACCCATAAACTGGTCAAACTGCTCATTTTTTCATGTTGTTCAGAAGCTGTTTATGTTCAAGAGAGGTTTATGAATAATTAAATGGAAGGGGATGAAAATTTAAATCAGCAGGGCTTTAGATTATTATTTTATTAGCATTAATGTAGATAAAAATCACCTTCTTGAAATCCTTGTGTGAGAATCTGATATCATATTGGTGAACACTGAGGAAATCAATTAATGGAAATTAAACTTTCAAAGTTTCAGAGGCTGACAGATATGATCTTGGTCTAAAGTCACTCAGTATCTGCAAGCACTTGTTAAAGCAGAGCAATCAAAGCACCTAAATTGAATTGCTACTATACAGCAATTAGTTTATTGATTTAATTAAGAATGCCACCTTTCTAATTCTCAGGTCATGATTGAAATATTTTCTGACTGAATATATTTTCCATTAATGAGACACCAAGATCCACCAAGGAACACTTCCAAGGTGAAACATTATTATTATTGTTGCTGCTGTTAGCCGCAGCAAGAATGACACAAAAATTATTTAAAATTAACTGTCCATGATTATGAAACAATACATTTTGAAGTATTTTAATGGACAACAAATCACAGTAAATTATCATTTCATAGGTTTTAAGTTTTAAGATAGGTTTTAAGATAGGTTTTAAGTTAGTTCAAGGCATTAGAAAATTTGATGATCATCCCTTATTATTATATCACTAACAAAATGTAAGTGTAAATCCTGGTGGAGAATTGTTATATCTGCAATATTACAATTATGTAAGCCTTTCTGTATAATTTGATTGAAAAGCATTAAGCTCATGATCCTGTTTTAAACATAAATATGGCATCTTTTTAGTTCTGTAATCTGTGTTTTACAATTAAAGATGAGCCTGATGATTAGCTATTTGCATTTATGTACTGAAACAATATTTACCTATAAGAGCAGATGCTGAATTTCTATCTTAGGCCCCAGTCATATACCTACAATGAGGACTTTTTTGCAATGGTACTCACTGGTACTGAATACCAGCACCTCTTTTGTGACTGTCCCAAGTCCTTAGGGGGGAATTGGTAGAAATTGACACAGCCCTATATATGAGTACTGACATCTTTTTTTAAAATTGAAAAAACCCACCGACCTCAAGGTATACAAGTGAGGCCTGCTTAGCAGATGCACCAAGAAGTTGGAGTTTCATGATTGGCGGAAGGCTCCTTTTGACAGTACCTTCATTGTGATGGAACTGCTCTACCATGGTTCCTCCTTCTATTGCAAGGGTAATGTCAGAAGCCCCCAGTCTAGTGGTTCCAAGCTTTTTGGGATGGTGACCCACATGTCCAAATTTACATTGTATGGTGACCCATCCAGATCTGGCCCAAGGTTTTTTGTGCTCTAGGCAAACTATAACCTTTGCATCCATCTATTCCAGCTTTCCATTTTCTACTCTTCCCAATCAGATGTTTCTGAGAAACCAACAAACATCACACAAAGGGTGCAGCTGCCCCACTATAAACCCAATATCTTTTCCTCTGCCGGCTGTGCTAGAGCTAAAGTTTGAGGAGGCACACTCAGTGGGCACAGGGTTGAGGAGGTGTCATTTTCATATAACTGACAATGAAGAAATTGGTGGCAAGTAGCCTGGTGCAGTACATCTTCCACTGCAGGTAGAGGGCAGTGAAGCAGTGCAGGGGGCTGGGCAAGAGGTTGGGCTACTGAAGGAGCAGTACCAAGACCAACCCCATGCACGCACATGCCTCTTTCTATCCTCCTCTGATTTTTTTCAAGGCATGCCGAACAGCTCCCACCTACTCTCCAGCCACCCCTCCTTCTATCAGCTACTTCAGCGATGTTATTAGATGCCTAATGGCTTTTTTCTCCCCATTATTGCCACAAAGAAGGAGGGGGAGATGAAAATGTGGAAAGTTGGTGAAGAGGAAAGAAAGAGAAAGATGAAATGGGCAGGAGCCACCATTAGGGAGGGCTAGCTTGCAACCTACTTTCAGAGGCTTCGTGACCCACTTCTGGGTCCTGACCTGCAGGCTGAGAAACACTGCTCAAGGTAATGTGGGTTGAGTCCATAAGGTGTCTCCTTCCTGCACCAGCACTGCCCCAGTTTCCAGAATCAGAGATGTGTGGGAAGGAACCACACTGGACTTATCTCATATGACCCTTCTAACATTGCTGCTGAGGTGGAAAAAGAGTTCTGTTGCAGTGGCTCATATGTTGTGAAGGCATCATCAGGTCATTGAAAGGTCTTTCATCATCATGGCTCATTAATCATGTCTGTTAGCACCTAGGTGCTGTTTAAAACTAAAGCTAAAACTAAAAGTAGAAACTTTTGACTATAGATCACTTTCCTGTACATCCCAGAAATCCTTGCAATGGACTTTTCAGATTGTGTGCGAGGTGCACACAATCAAAAATGGCATTCTTATATCTTTTACAACATGTCAAGAGATTCCAAAGTACCATTCAAAAAGCACAGAGGTCAGGCCTAATATAGCTTTGCCGCATTCCCCTTCCCATTGCTTCTGTGTCTCTTGAAAAGCCATTCCTAAAGATCTGGAGACCTTTGGGAATGCCATGACATATGATACTGGAAATGGGAATTTGAAGCAATCTCCCTTCCCTATATCTTGTATAAGCTGTACTTCAACTTGCATGAGACATGGGGAGTGATTTTTGAAACAATATACTGACAACCCAATTTTCTGCACCTGGGTAGCAAATCATGTATTTATTCCCACTGTATTCCATGATCAGGTTTTTAGTGTTATCAAAGCTACGAGCAATGAGCAATTTAGCAAGGGGTACTTTACACGTCCCCTCAGTTACAAAACGATTTATATATGGAACATCTGATGCTGTAGCAATGTGGAAGCTAGAAAGGTCCTAAATGGGAGACCCCTGGGAGGCCTATGAAGCAAACCCAAATAAGTTACTTGGAGCTTTTCAAATTACAAGCATAATCAATATATAAACAGTGATAGCTAAAATCTTAAAAGCATATTTCTGAGATATATAAAATAGTGTCTACTTCCATTAGAAAATAAAATTTATTTTTATTTATTTATTTTTCGCATTTATATTCCGCCCATCCCATAAACGGGCTCAGGGCGGGTTACAACATTTTAATAAATACCATAAAACTTAAAACACATTAAAACATATAAAATCATTAGTCATGCTTGCCATAGGATGGAATCCAGCCTATTGATGTAACTAGGTATGCCCCGTTATCAGTAGGTGAGAGATTGCAACCTTGGGGGGGGGGCTATATGTGGATGCCCGCTGCCTCAGCCAAAGGCCTGGCGGAACACCTCCATCTTTCAGGCCCTGCAAAATTGCATAAGATCCCACAGGGCCCTGATCTCAATAGGGAGCATGTTCCACCAGGTGGGGGCCAGGGCAGAAAGAGTCCTGGCCCTGGTCGAGACTAGGCGATTGTCGTTTGGGCCAGGGATCACTAGGAGAAGCTGACTCTCAGACCGGAACACTCTCCAAGGTGTATATGGGAAGAGGTGGTCCCTTAGGTATGTTGGTCCCAAGCCATATAAGGCTTTGAAGGTAATTACCAACACCTTGAAGCAGATCCGGGACTCAACCAGCAACCAATGCAGCTGACAGGGCACATGCCAAATGTGGCCCCACACAGGCATCAATGTCAGTAGGCATGCTGCCGCATTTGTACCAGCTGTAATTTCCAGATCAACTTCAAGGGTAAGCCTGCGTAGAGCGAGTTGCAGTAATCAAGCCTGGAAGTGACCATTGCATGGGTCACCGTAGCTAAGTCCTGGGGGGAGAGATAGGGTTTCAGTAGCCTGATCTGCCTAAGATGGAAAAATGCAGATCTGGCAACTGCAGCAACCTGGACCTCCATAGATAAGAAGTATCCAGTGTTACTCCCAGGCTCTTCACCAACTGGGCCGGCACCAGAGGTGTCCCTTCCAGTGTGGGAAGCCTGGTGCCCACCTCCAACCCTCCATGACCCAGATACAGGACCTCTGTCTTTGATGGATTTAACTTCAATCAAGTCTGCCACAACCATCCAGCCACAGTATACAAAGCCTCAGCCAAATTTCCAGGAACGGAGGATGGATGGCCATCCATTACCAGGTAAAGCTGAGTGTCATCAGCATACATACTGATGGCAACCCATCCCATAAATCCAGACTAACTGGGCGAGGGGGCGCATATAGATGTTAAATAGCACTGGCGAGAGGATCACCCCCTGCGGCACTCCACATTCTAGTGGGTAATAATAAAAATATTCTGATAGCAATGTTAATGCTTTCAAAGAAGTCTATACCTTAGAGTTATTATGAAAGCTCAAGTTATTCAGATAACTATTCAAATGACCTCTGAAGCTAACATGCAAAGTACGTACTGGCATAGGGAGAATTGGCAGCAGATCCATTCAAGAATGTTGGAGATCCACCTAAATTAGACATTCCAGCATTTCCATAACCATTCATGCTTGTCGTGACGGAATTGTAGTTTGTCTGCTGTGGGGTAGTGCTTGGCACATAACCATGAGGCGACACACTGCTTGAGTTGCGAGTAAAACCTTTTGTAGAAAGTGAAACAAGAAGAATAGCTTTCATGAGAGAGTTCCACCCAATTTCAAAACATCCCAAACCTGTTATACTAAAACTGAGGGAGGCTTCAGTAAATATGTGCATGTGGGGAAGAGTAAGGGAGGCGGGGTCACTCATTCTATAAAATGGAAATTCAATTAGAGTAACTTCACTTTTGCATTCACCGGTCTGAACTCAGTAACAGGTAGTTTTCCAAGTAAATTGCTATGTACTTCCTGACAAAGTATCCCTCCCCCAAACAGAAACATATTACCTCCCCACCCTGCCTGAAATATCTGATAATGTAAATGGTCCATACTTAAGACAAATGAGACTGTACTGCATATTACTCTAATGAAAATAAACATTCAAGAAATATGTGTACAGTCTATTCAACACTGAGTTCTTCACTTATACTATGACTAAAAACACACACAACCCCCTCTTTAAATATTCCTTGACTTTTGCCTGAAAAATATTTCTTCTTACCCTGATTGGTGGCCTGTGAGGCTTCTGAAACGTTGACTGCTAGCTGACCACTAAAGGAATTCACACCCATCATTCCTGCATGGACTGATGTGTTGGCGAGTGCTGGGAGCTGGTTATGATTGCGAGGGACACTGTAGAGTGCTTCTGCTATATCGGCTGCTCTTTTCAGGATTATTTCCTGAGGGAAAGTGTGAAGAGATAAGTGTAATTTAGGAAATGAGAAGAAATTCAATGGCAACTTAATTAGACCCCACCCATGTTAGGTGACCATTCAATGTACTCCCTCATAACAATGGAACAAGACTAGATAGATTAGAGTTCTGAATAAGTTGAAGATCAAGTACAGAATCAATGTACATTGTAATGTGTTATTAATAATCACACATGTGGGGAAAGAGAACGCTTTTCACTTGTAATCACAATTTTTGAAGGATGCATAGAAAGCAAAATATATGAATAAGTAGAATTTTCTTAGGAGAAGGAAGGAAGGAAGGAAGGAAGGATGGAAGGAAGGAAGGAAGGAAGGAAGGAAGGAAGGAAGGAAGGAAGGAAATGACATCAGAGAATAGCTAAGACTTAGAGGAATAATATTTGCTTTGAATGTCCCAGGTTCAATCCCTGGCAACTCCAGTTAATTTCAGGTAACAGGTATCAGGAAAGATTGCCTGCGACTTTGAAGAGCCACTTACAATAAGAGTTCACAATAATGAGCAATGGCATAAACCAGGTTTAAGTACTGTATAGGGCTGTCACCCTCCAGGTGGAGCCTGGAGATCTCCTGGTATTACAACTGATCTCCCGACTACTGAGATCAGTTTCCTTGGAGAGAATGGCTCCTTTGGAGGTTGAACTCTATAGCATTGTATCCTGATGAGGACTTACCACCTTCCCCAGATCTCTCTTTTTTAACATTATATATGTTTTAAAACGTAGTGCGATGGTCTCTTCAAGTGGTATTTATATACGTCTATCTGTATCTATATCTGTCTACACACACTGTGGCACTCTCATTTATTTGCCCTTCTCAAATTTTAGACTTTATCGGTTTTGCTATAGGCTTTCCCTGCAACTCAGATGTTACCATGCCCAATCCTGAGAACTGTGTTAATAAAGAAGGAATGTACCTGGTTGTTATGTGGCATTCCATAGAGTGCTTCCACCAGATCAGCTGCCCTCTTGAGTATTACTTCCTGTCAGGGGGGAGAAAAAAAGAGAGATGTTCCTAACGAGTTCAATAAACTGTATGTTGAAAAAACATTTTGCTGCATTCTCTTACATTGTGCTCTCAAATTTATTTCCTGTACACAATAGTCTTAAAAAGCAAGAGTACTTAGTGAACTCAGAATAGTGTTAAATGAGTTCACACACAAGCTTAATAAAGTCAAAAGGTGAGACTTGTTTGTGCTGCAAAACAAAATCTGTCACTCAGTTGTCTACCATCTACACTATGAACCACTCATGGGTTTATTGCAGAATAAGACCTGTGGTCGTTTACTGGATTACTACAATCAGTGTCATTCAGAACATGTTACGAATCTCTCCAATGTGTTTATTTGGTTCTTAATTTACGTTATAGAACAGTGAGCTTATCAGATCAACTACATTGTTAGGTTATCTCTTCAGTGCAGTTGATCTGATACCAATGTAATATCCCACATCTTCTTTTGTTACAAGTAGGTGACGCAACCTGGTGCACACAGTGCATGCAGCATAGTAGAACGAGTGAAATGGGTTTTGAAAACTAACACAAAAGAATGTATGTGAGAATTCCTTTCAAAAGAAGTTCCCTTTGAAACAAATAGAAAACTGTGCCTGAATTTTGGGCGTAATCCTACCTTTAATTTCTTTGCTTGCTCATTTCTCCATCTGCTCATTTGTTTATCTCTTATGTGTTCCTCAATTCACTTGTATGAGGAACCCCTTACTTTCCCTGTTCCCCTATGATATATCCCAATGCATTTTAAATTGACCTGTGAAATACTTTAAATATGTAAAAACCTAGAGGAAAAGCTAGAATGGACATTATAACATGTATTTATAAATTACAGACTATAAGACAAAGCCTTCCGTTTGCATACAAGTAATTTCAATTGGCTCAATAATACTTTCCTCAAGCAATTTTATTTTTAAAGTCTTTTATTTGCTTGGTAGTCAGCAGCAGAAAGGAATAACAAAGTTGAATCCAAATGTATTTCTGCAGCTGCCTTATAGGATTACATATAACATTTTCCTACTGACTTCTGAATGAAGTTGAAAACTTTAACTAGAAATGTTTCTTACGCTAGCTAGATTTTCTAACCAAAAGAAGCAGTAATACTCCATTTTCATATACTATAGTCTCTGATCAGAAAATAGAGATATAATTGCATTCATTTTGCTGTCACCATAACCTCTTCAAAATCCTCGAACAACTCTTTAGATGACAAGCTTTTAGATGTATATTAGCATTTTTTTCAATTTAAAATTCACTACAATATATGGTAAAATAGTTGTCATACTGCAGTAGCTACTTATGACATATCTGATGTCCTAAATTTAAAAATGTGATGGTAACTACCTCCCTGCACACTTTGGTCTCCCAGTAAACATTTATCCTTTCTTAAAATTGCCACACAGTCTTCCCTTCAGAATGCACAATTCAATTATTTTTCACACATGTAGCCAGGTGCATTATATAATTGATGGATTCTGAATCAATACATTTGAAACTATTTCTGAAGAGATCGCTAGCTACAGCCTTTGTCCTTTCAGTGTGGCTTGACCAAAGCACTAAATAATTTAAAAGGGTATGGACTGAATGCGCATGATACCCCTATGGAATCAGGTCACGCTGTTTTAGCCAAGCTGCTTAGAATCTCAGTGGCCCTGTCTGCCTTGTAAAAGATTAAAATTTTAGAGTAGGAGAGAAGAGCTGCTTGTCAGAGTTGACTTTTCCAGTTTACAGTAAACTAAAACATCTTGTCCAGATAGTAGGAATTGAAAATGTATTCACAGGCTGCAATTCACAACCCAAAGATTCTAGAGTAGTTTCATTCACCTGAGTGAACTCCTCAGGAGAAAATGGTCCGCCTTTGTATGTTTACACAGAATCTTGTGGTTACCATTTGTAATCAAAAGTCCAGTATTAAGAAATAGAGAGCAGCTTAATCAAAAAAACATAATTTTTTCTTACAAAAGTAAGAACCTAACTGTTCACAAAATTCATTATTTAAGCACATTAGAAAATTTGCAGGTAGACAGCACTTGGGACTTCTTTATAACAGTGCAGTGCCTCTACAATGCATGCTTTCATAAATACATCTCCTCAGAATAACAGCTATTTGTTTTGTTTGTGTGACTCTCTAAGGTTAAACAACGCAGATGTACAAAAATCTCCTTTGTTCAATAATGCTAAGCTTTTATTTTAAAGATTATCGTGACATTTATAGTTAGCCTAGTTTTTAACAAAACACAGAATAAAATGCCATTATATATATGTGTGTTTATACATATTAGCGTACTTTAAAACATTTTCAGGTCCCCATTCAGTTCCCATAGCTAACACTGTCATTACCTCAAATAAAAAACGGCTCCTAAAAGTCTTCTATAAGTTACTGCAATAGACCTTGCAAGGTGCTTGAATTGCAGTGACCAGAAAATTGTTCTCACCTCCATGTCATTACGCTCCCAGTGAACCAGCCCCCGAGCGTGTTTGTGTTCGGGATCTAATATATTGCCTTTCAATCAGAGCTGAGAGCCACTGAACACATAGACAGAACATGACGAGCAGGTCAGGAAAGCAATAAAGATTTTACAGAGCTGTCCAAGGTGCTAAATTTACTCAATAATGGGTTTGGCACCATAGTGTTAACCTCTCATTTACTACCAGTTTGAGGGACTAAATTGAAGTAGCTGACTTCATTTACCTTGAAATGTATATTTTATGACATTATGTAAGTAGATTGAAAGGGCACTGCAGCTTTAACAATTTAAAGCTAAAGCATGTTTAAGATGAAGCCTGGCTATTTATTGTATATTGCACTTAAAGTATATGGAATATTAAAATGCACTGATTAAATTTGTAAATGGTATTATAAGAAGGACAGCTAATATAAAAAGATCTATGTCTTTGAAAATTAAAGTAATAGCATCTACAGCAACAGAAAGGATGCATAGAAAAGGGCACAGATACACAGGGAAAAACTTTCTGTGACACAGAAAGCATGTCTTAAAGCAAATGCTGTTGCAGGCTAACTCAATTAATATATGTTAGTGTTTAATATTGCTTTCATGGCCAAAAAAGTTAACAGACTCTCAAGTGTGTTAAGGAGAACAGGAATCTCTCTCCCATTTTGCAAAGGCATTCAAGAATTTTCATCAAAGCTGCTTGGAATACAGGATGGTCTTCATGAGACTCATGAAATACTTGCACATCATTTACTTTTCTCTCAGTCCATGGGACTAACATCCCAATCCAACACAGGTTTAAGTAAATCCCATGTGCATCTGACGAAATTTAGTAGGTGTACATAGGAAGAAGGCAGCCAAAGAATCCTGTATACATCCCTTTTCACCCAGGACATTTGTATCTTAGGGGCTTAGGAACTAACAAGATGATACTCATGAGCATCATATATTTATGTTGTATGAAAGCCACCCTGAGCCTGCTTTGCAGGGAGGGCAGGGTATAAATTCGATAATAAATAAATAAATACATTCTTTGAAAATTTCCAAGGCCAATAACTCTCTGTGTGTACATGTGGGAGAAGGGCTGTCAGTTTTAATTATCCAAATTGTGCAAAGCTGGAAGAGTTAAATTTCCTCTCCCTCCTGGATGATTCCCATTCAGATGGTATCCACATGTGGTGCCCTTTCTATTTAAAAAATGCTGAAAATCTGAGCAGAAATCTCTCAGCATCTCATCAAGTTAGGCCTTTAGGCTTCCATGACAGAGGCTGGCAATAGTTCTTAAGATAGCTAGAATGTAGTGGAATAGCAACAGCAGCAGTATGCCATGGTGGACACATTCACTTCTTTATCCCATTTTTGTCTAGCCTTACAGGTTTGCTGGTTTGTTTGAAGTACAAAAAAAATGTCAACAGAACCTGGGGGAGGTGATATTAGGAAAAATGTGCTTACCAAGGACAATAGTTTCACACCCTCATCACTTTCAGTTTTTTAAAAGGACTATAGTCTGTCTCAAATGGCAGCTTCTTGAAGAAGTATAGGAAGAAGGTGAAACAGGTACCTGTAAATTGCACATATTTTTTGTCCCTATTACAAAGATACCAAGGTCATGAAATGTATCTGGCCTACTCTTCCTTCTTGATCACAACAATATTCATCTTGTGGGTAAAGAAAAGGTGGGGACAAAGGTGATAAGGAGGCACAGGATATGTATAGATCACCCCCTTTCAAACTGCCATCTAGCTATGCTGTACAAAAGTTTAAATTCAAATGCCTCACTCAGTCAGAACCAGGACCAATCACTTTAAATGCAAGCACTATCTTTTAAGGAGAAATCTTGGTTTAAATAATTTAGAAATTTACAAAAATGTTTCCCTTTTTGGAATACAGAACTTTTTTGGAATATCTTCCAGAAACATACTTTATGGCAATAAACTGGAAACTTGTAAAAATACTTCCATCTGAATATGCCAGCGAAGACATTTCTGAAGCAACATAATTTGACTAAAGCTAATATATAATTTATAGAGGCATCTGTAAGGAAAGATTTGCTTCTCTACCAGAGCTCTAAAAAATTATCTCATCACGTCACTAAGCCAAACTAATAAGTGGTGTCTACCCCTATAAGTTCAATTCCTTTTATTATGCGCTTGAATCCTTTCTCCATTTGGATTCTTAACATGTGCACCCAGTAAGCCAATGTATCAACTTCTTCCACTTTATGGATTTTCCATGAATCAAATGGGGCATAGAAATGAATTCACTTGCCACACTGTATGAAATATGACACTGATATAGACCCAGATGTATTACTGTGACACAAATACTATCAGAGACTCAAGAGTTAAACTCACTGAAACCTCACATCTAGAGCAACAATCCAACTTGTTTTGTTCAATCTTTGATACGGATGCTACCAATACAGAATCCATCAAAACCATGCAATTTGGTTTAAGATGAATTACAATGTCCTATATTAATACCTGATGCATTCTTGACTGGGCCATTTATCCTCACATTTTTTCATATTTGGTTCATTGGGGTCAAATTTAATCAGAACAACTAGGTTTTGTGCCACTTCTTAGTAATATACGTTACAACATTCTTGTTGACCTCTGATTTCATATTATGTAAAAATGGGTAAAAAGAACAATGCATGTAGATTTCAAGTTTAATTGATGTCAAGAAACTTGAAGAAATATTTGTTACAAGTCATACATATTTTTTTTATAAGTAAGCAATGTCCACCAGATCTAAAGATCTGAACTGCCTACTGTATACAATTTATTCCACTGTGTACAGGGAAAAAATATTCTACCAAACTATTATATATTCATTTTATGTGTCGTCTAGATGTCATATCATCATCAATATATCCTAAAAACATAAGAAGAACCCAGCTCGATCAGACCAGTGGTCCATCTGGTCCAGCATCTTGTCTCACACAGTGGCCAACCAGTTCCTCTGGAGGGCCAACAACATAGCCAGATCTGTGGATACATAAGTCAGGAGACTGAAACTCTGATGTGACAAAAGCCTCAGGGCTGCAGAAAAATCTGAAAGTTGAAAAAAACCCCACTGGAGGAGGGGTTAACCGCCCACAAATAATAGAGGCAACACCTGTAGCTTTAAGAAAGAAATATTTGCTGTGACCATTGATACAGCTAGCACAGAATTGCCAGTTGAATCCTTGGTTTTTGTCAGTAAAAGGCAGTGGGAGAGGGCAGGGCCCTTTTGAGGTCTGTTATGACCTTTGAGGGAGGACTCATTGCAGCCACACTCAGCAGTAGTCACCAGATGACTTGCTACCACCCTACTTGCATGACTTCCCTAGACCCAGATACCACCATTCAACAGCAGGCACCCCTTGAAAGCGAGTTAGAGATTCAGACTAGGATCTCAGAGACCAGATTCAAATCCCTATTCTGCTATGGAAGACCATTGCAAGACCAGTTGCACATTCTCTGCCTAGTTTACCTCACAAGGTTGTTGTGAGAATAAAGATCATTGCAAGACCAGTCGCACATTCTCTGCCTCGTTTACCTCACAGGGTTGTTGTGAGAATAAATTGGAGGCAAGGAGAATTATCTAAGCTGCTTTGGGTCTCCATTGTGGAGAAAAGTGATATGTATGTATGTGTGTGTGTATACACACACAGACACATATATATGAAACAAATAAATAATAAATGTAGCTGACGATGGGGGCAGAATGATTGGCAGATGGGAAGGCCAGAAGGAATCAGGGAAAGTTGAGGATGTGATGTTTGCCAGGAGGAGTGGAGGAACTAGGGTGGGGAAGGGGTTGTAATATAAAAGAAGGTGCCCTCCAAAAGTCCATGGGAGTTCCCCACTGCACTATTGGGCTTGGTCCAGTGGCCAGCACTATGCAACTGGACTACTGTTTTCCCAGGTAGAGGCTGATAGGGGGAGGAGGGAAAGGTGAAGTCAGGGTGACAGAAAATAGGGTGCCTTTCATGTTCTCTACAATGCAACTGGGCCTGGCCCAATGGCCAGTACTGCACAACTGGGCCACACATGGTGGCTGGCGTCATGCAACTGGGCCATAGTTATCCTGGGTAGAGGCTTCCAGTGACAGGAATGAAAGGAAGCCTTAAGACAGAGGGTGGATAAAGGCAGGTTGGGTGGTGGGTGGGAAGGAGAGAAGGCAGCAAGAAAGGGGGAGAGACTATGGGTGCTTTCAGGGAAAGACAGAGGAAATAGTAGGGCAGGAAGAAATCAGATGCTCCCCACCAATCCTTGACTGCAGTCAAACACATTAAATAATCCACTTTCAATGCACTTTCCAACTGGATTTTTACTGTGTGAACTGGCAAAATCCAATTCGAAAGTGTACTGAAAGTGGATTGAAAGTGGCTTATTTAATGTGTGCGACGGCATCCCCTGTCTTCTTTTAATAGTCTACTGGCAAATTCAGAAATAATTAATGTTCTGCACAAGTACTTAATGAAGATATGATAGCCCCTCATGTCCAATACATAACACTGATTCTTAGTATTTTATTTCATGGGCACTGCACACACATACCCAGTTAAATTATGAATACAAGATTCCATGCAACTTCTGACATTTGTAAAAGAAAGCTGTGAAAGCTTCAGATTAAAACTATAAAAACCCTTAGACTTTAATCCAATGCATATTTATGCAGGAATCAGCCCCAGTCACTGGACTATACTTTGAGGAAAGATGGCTAAGATCAGGCTATAAAATTTAAGCTAACTAGATACCTTTCTCACTAGGCAGAGTTTGCTATATTTTCACTTCAATGAAATGAAAGGAAAACATTTCTACAGCCCACGTAGGTTTGCCATCCTCTTTGACATATCATGAAATTACTCGTAATCTCCAGACAGCAGAGATCAGTTCCCTTGGAGAAAATGGCTGCTTTGGAGGGTGGACTCTATGACATTATACCCTGCTGAGGTCCCTCCCCCAGGCTCCACCCCCAAAATTTCCAGGAATTCTTCA